GTAGAGGATATAAGTTAATTATTCTTGAAATCGGTTTTCCCCTAGTCTTCTTTCTCTTAGATTTACAGGAATTCTTAGGGCCTTAATCATACATAAATATCTTAAAGGTTAATTAGAAACAGTGTGAATTGGGCTCCCCCCTTCCCCCTGTTTTAAGAATGGGATATCGGATTGGCACATGTTGTACCTGATGACTTGAAGAATGATGGTCTTGCTGTTTTTGTTCCATTTGTTTCTCAATGTTTAAAAAGAGGGTAGTTGACTGCTACATAACTTTTAAATGATGACCAAGATGTGAGAACTACTATGTTTCAAAACCTTGATTCCTTGAAACTGATTTTTCATCTTGTCATCACCTGATTCATGTCTTAGGAGAAATAATCGGAAAAACTGAGATTTTTGTTTGCAAAAGATAATCTTTGAAGGATGGTAATTTTTCAGCTATTTGAAGATACTCATCTTAATTTGACTATGCATTTTAAGATAAGAAATTAGAGTAAACGTTAGTTGATTTTAAATGCTTATTGTAGAGAAATAGGAAAAAGACAAACTATTTCCATTACTATCATTCTTATTTTCCTGTAAATTCTAGCTAATCTAGTTAGAGAAGAAAACTAAATTAAGTCTTATAATGTGGCTTGCTTACCTATAAATCCCAAGAAAATAAACTGAAAGCTATTCGAACTAATATCAATTTTAACAAGGTTGTAAGTCATAAACTAAATATACAATATTAATAGATTCCTACATAACAGCAACATATAAAAATAAAATGAAAATTTGATATCATTCATAATGTAATAAAAATAATAATTATCTAGAAATAATGTCACCCATATGGAGACAATGATAAAATTTTACTATGAGAAAAAAATGAATAATGGAATGGGTGAAAAATATTTTCCCATGGGGGAAATAAAACATTATAAATGTATCAAAACACACATATATATATATATATATATATAACGAAATTCTCATCATAATCTTAATGGAACATTATTATGCTAAATTGAAACATTTGTGCTAAAGTTCAGCTGAAAAGTTAAACATGTATGATTACCCATGGTCCTTTTCGAAAGAACAGTTATGAAGAGAGAAGGTGTTCTAATTAATCTAGCCCTAAACATTCTAAGTTTATATAAATGAAAATAGTACAACACTGACCCAATACTTGGTCACAGACAAGTGAAATAGTAGAGAATACACCCCGAGACTCAAGGATAGTTAAAGGCTTTCATATGTGACAAAAGATGGCCTTTCCTATCAGTATATAATGAGTATTTAATATATGGTGCTGGGGCAAGTAGTTAACCATGTGGGAAAAATATATATATATAGATGTTTGCTTTGCCTTATAGTACAACCTCAAGTAATTTTCATATAGGGAAATATTTAAGTGTCAACCTGATTTATTTCTGTCACTTTGGTGAGGGAGAATCTTCACCAGTAATCTAAGAAAATAGTCATTTATGTCCACAAGGACTTGAATCAACTGTCAGAATATTTTTTTTTAACTTCTAGTGGTAATGGAAACTTGAAATATGTTTAAACATTTAACAATGAAGATTAGGTTTATCTTAGGCTTAGTTAGTAGAATATTATGCAACTAGGAAGTGAGAGAAAGAGAAATGAAACTAGGGAAGGGAAGAAGAGATTAAGATTCATGTTAAAAATATTTTTATTGATTTCAGAGGTGAAGGGAAAGGGAGAGAGAGATGGTAACATCAAAGATGAGGGAAAATCATTGATCAGCTGCCTCCTATACACCTCATACAGGGGATCGAGCCCACAACCTGGGCATGTGCCTGACCAGGAATGAAACCATGACATCCTAGTTCATAGGTAGATGCTCAACCATTGAGCCATGCCAGCAGGGCAAGACTCATGTTTTTTTGCTTAGTAACATTTATGTGCATACCCTCATGCACACAAAAATGATAAAGCAGTATAGCAAATGTTAATAGGGATAAAGGCATTAAGTTATTTTCTTGTTTTGTTTCTTTAATTTTTAAAAAATAATGTATATTATTATTTTTCTAAATAAAAGTCTAAACTGTAAACAAATATGATGGCTTATAGATGTTTTTAATTCTATTTGATACTCATCAATAGCACCATTTTTGTGTGATAGGCAAAAGTTAATGATGTAAGAGTAAAGAATAATAAAATAAGATGAAAATTTAGTCTTATGAAGATTACAGCTGTTTTTTAAATTGGAAAAAGGAAGATTCAAAGATATGGAACATTTATTTTTCTATAGTTGAAGTTTTATTATACTAAGTTATCTTCATCAAAAGATCAATTCTGCATTTCCATAGGAGACTGGTAAGAAAAAGGAAGTACAGTCAGAGATCAAGGAGAGTGTGGAAGTTAATCACTAAAGATGACTAATAATAATTTGGTCAGTTGTAGGTACTAGTTACAACACACACTTCAAAATAATTACTCCATAGGCTTAAACATTAGTTTGAAACCAAGTAACTAAGTATGCAGCATCATAGCTAAATAAGTGCACAGCAACGCATGTAAGGTTACATACATTCTTCCAGTCCTTCATCCCTAATTCTAGGAGGGATATTCTTATAGCCTCAATATGCATTTTTAGTTTAGAAATGAAATCCAGTCAGTCTTTCATTCCTTAGTCTAGCATCACTTAAGTCTCACTGGATATAGGGTGTTTATATGACCCTAAAGGGACATAATGAGTCTTAAGCGAGGAGCTATTTCTTGTTTGTAGTAGGAAGGATGGACCACAGATAGGGCCCGTTTTCAAAGGGTGCATGGAACTGAGGAAAGAAAGCTGCTTCCCCAGGGTTTTCATTACTGAAATTTGGGGCGCAGTTTTGAAAATGCATTTGCATTGGGGCACTTTACAATTCTGATATTTTGCAGCAGCTACATAAATGCAGATTCAAGCAGAGGGCTGAGTGTATCTTTATCACTCTTTCAAACGTAGAAAGGGATTTTGGCAGGAAAGACAGCTGTGCAATTGCATGAAGCTTTCCCATTTCCACAAGTTGAAATTGATGTAAATGTGTTGATATGCTTGGCTTCTTTCCTTTTTATTTCTTGTAAGAAAAGGTCTCTCTCCACCTCTCTTTCCCCTCCCTCCTTCTTTCCCTCCCTCCCTCACTTCTTCTTTACTTTTATTTTTCTGCCCAAAGCCTTTATTCAGTTGGTATTTTCTTTTTCTAAAATTTATAACCTCAGAACTATAAATGAAACATAGGGAACTCAGTCTATGAATATCTATAATAATAAAAGCATAATATGCTAATTAGACCAGACAGCCGAACAAACCTCTGGACGTCCTTCCGGATGAAGCCACAGCTGCGGGGGCCAAGGCAGAGGCAGTTAGGGGTGATCAGGCAGGCAAGCGAGTGTTTAGGGGTGATTAGTCAGGCAGGCAAGTGGTTAGGGGCAATCAGGCAGGCAGGCAGAGGCAGGGGCAATCAGGCAGGCAGGCAGAGTGGTTAGGAATGATGAGGCAGGCAGGCAAGCAGTTAGGGTCAGGCAGGCAGGCTAGTGGTTAGGGGGGCTATGAGGCAGGCAGGCAAGTGGTTAGAGGCAATCAGGCAGGCAGGCAGGCGAGTGGTTAGGAGCCAGTGGTCCCAGATTGTGAGAGGGATGTCCGACTACCGGTTTAGGCCATCCCATAGGGCCTAAACCGACAGTTGGATATCTCCTGAGGGGTCCGGGATTGTGAGAGGGTGCAGGCCTGGCTTAGGGACACCCCCTCTCCCATGCACAAATTTTGTGCACCAGGCCTCTAGTATTTATATAAGCTTTACTATGGCATTTAATTAAAATGTTTGAACAACAGCTGAGAGTGACCTGTAAAATAACTTAATGTGTCAGTAGTCAGTGCTGTGGACGGACAGAAATTGGCCTGGACTCTAATAATCTATGGTCCTTCCTTGTTTTATGCTTATTATTAAAATATTTTAGTAATAATTCATCTAAGTATCATAGTTAAGAGTTCATAAATTTGCATTGGGCAGTTTCATGTTTGAGGACTACTCTCTGACCTATAACATTATGACCTGAAATAAGGTCATATTCTATTTTCAAGTCTCATCTCCTCTTTGGTAAAATGAGTTAATAATAGCAGAGTGTAGTATAATATATATAGTATAGTAAAGAATATTTACTGATGGCTAGGTAAGGTAGTGCATATAAAACTTTAGAACATGAGTGGAACATAATAAAGAGTTGAATAAAATATTATTTCTAAAGCAATGATAGAGATATGTAAACATATGTTCTTAGAATGTTGAGGGCGATGTTTGTGATAAAATGTTACAAAGAACTTGGGAATCCACTTGTGGGGAATGGGTGAACTTAGTAAGGAAACCCATGCTGTTCTCTGTTTTGATTATCATCACCCCCATGTATTAAGTGCCCACCCTGTCACAAGCATCTAAGCCAGTGGTTCTCAACCTTCCTAATGCCGTGACCCTTTAATACAACTCCTCATGTTGTGGTGACCCCCAACCATAAAATTATTTTCGTGGCTACTTCATAACTGTAATTTTGCTACTGTTAGGAATCGTAATGTAAATATCTGATATGCAGGATGTATTTTCATTGTTCGCGACCCACAAGTTGAGAACCGCTGGTAAGCAACGCACATTTGTATCCTTGCCCCTCAAAACAATCGTATACTGATGATGCAACTAAGTCATTGAGGTGAAATAGCTTCACGAAAGTAAATACTAATCGAAAAAAACCACATTAAACTTTGAAATCACATCTTATCAAGAGCAAATCCATTTTTTATTTCCCCTCCACCTCACTAGCTCTCTAATTGAGGAATTACTCAGGTAAGGACCCACCAGGTGACTTTCTCACTGGGTGTGGACTTTGAGTCAGGGTTGGCAACACACACATCCTCTTTGGAACTCAAGTTCTGTATTTGGGGAAAATTGTTGTCAGTGTAAATGAGCTTCTCACATCCTGGTGGTTTGCTCTCATGTGGTGCTTTCTTGTCTTTTCAGATCCCCCAGATTAGTTATGCATCAACGGCACCTGAGTTAAGTGACGACCGGCGCTATGACTTCTTCTCCCGCGTGGTCCCACCTGACTCCTTCCAAGCCCAGGCCATGGTAGACATTGTGAAGGCCCTAGGCTGGAATTACGTGTCTACTCTCGCATCTGAAGGAAGTTACGGAGAGAAAGGTGTGGAATCCTTCACGCAGATTTCCAAAGAGGCAGGTAGGAAGAGATTGCAATGATTAAGATGACCCTCTTCACATTTCTGTGGCTTACAGGGTTCTTTTCAGTCTTTATTAAACCAACACTATAGATAATCGCCATATACCTACTCTCACATTCCCCACGGCCTGTGAAGCAGATCTGCAAAGTCTTTGTTGTTTTTGAAGAGAATATTTTCAAAAGTGTGAAACTTAAGTCACTTAAAGTATTAGTGGAAGTGATGCAGAGAAGAAAATAGTTTCCAAAATCAATATCTTACTTCTGTGTAATGGATAATAGTGTGGATTACTGCTTATATTTGGGAACCTGAGAAAATGTGGCTAAATGTACTTCTCAATGCATACTTTCTTCCTCTGTTCCTCTCTAATGATGGGAGAATTGTTTAGAATTATGAGAACCCAATCATGGCACCACTTTGCTTTGGAGATGAATAACAGTGATGGCTCTGGCTGACTTGGTCAAAACAAAATCAAATAAATTATTTAGATAAATAGTCTTTGAAGTATTAGATTATATTGAGAAAGACATCTGTATTAAGTAACAGTTAAAGAAGATTGTTTATGTTTATTTAGCTCAAATTGGAAATAATGGGCTCAAATGTTTGGCCAGTGGTCTTCCATTGGGCGATTTTGAAAAAATGAGACAAAATCGTCACACTTAGGAATCCTGATGATAAATATTCAGACTTCCCCACTTGGAAATATTGGATCAGTGTGTGTGTGTATATATTTAATATTCCTGTATAGGTCTTATGCTAAAATCAGGTTCTCAGTTTAATGTGTAAAAATTTTATCTCCTCCCAATTGTTATTGATCAGAATAGTTAACTAACAGTAAAGGCAGACAAGCAAGGCAATAGAAACAGAGGTCCTTTCAATGAGGATACTATGTCATAAATTCCGAAGTCCTGGCTGTGATGTTGGACTATCAGACTGAAGATATACTTACGTAGACAATGGTTCAGGGTATGGCTACTGAAAGAAGGGAGTCAGGACTTGCTTGTAAATCCCATGATTTTAACTCAGTGCCTCATCATTAGCTCCAATTGCAAACATTCACTTCTTAGGTTCTTCCTTCTCACTGAATACTCTCACTCTTAACATCTTTGATGACTGGGTGGCTCCGAAGTATGAATAGGCCTCATCCCGAAAGTCATTTCTAAGTTCAAATAAACAAACACATGCCAATTCATTGGTTCCACTGGCATGGCCTTGTGTTTCCAGTGTCTTCTCCCACAGCACTTGTCCCATGTTAGTCTAACTTGCTGTTATTGCTTTATTGTCCGCTAGACTCTAGAGGAGACCTTGTCTGTCTCATTTACTATGGTAGTCCCAACTGCTGTGTTTATAAGGGAAATATTTTGTTTATTCAGTGAGAAACTTTCTGATTAGAAAAGATATCTTAACTCTGGCTTAGTGTTATGCTGAGATTTGTACCACTCCAATAATTGCCTTAATGAAGCCCTAAAAGGATGCCTAGTCATTTTTGATAACCAATACTTTTATTTTTTCTTGGTTCCTTGAATCCTGCTTTGACCAAAGTAAGGCTAGAGGTTGTCTTAGAAATATGAACATAAATGCCAACAGATAAGACATGATGAAGAGAAAATAATCATCTGAAGCTCTGAAGTAAAGTTCAGATACCTTCTTGCTCTGTTGCTGCAAATGGCTCTCCCATTTAATGCTGAACTTTGTACCGGTCAAAGCAAAAAGCACGACACATTTTTAACAAAATTGACAGTGCTCACAAGATGGAAATTATGTTAATTTTTCAGTCAAGCACAGGATCAAGACAGTTGTTTTCTCTGTGTCTTTTTTAACAGACTGAGATAGACCTGTCTGTAGACAGGTCAGTGGTGGATGTTATATGGTTGTTTTTTCCGGTTGTCCCTTGGTGAAAACTCAAGCTATAAAACCAGAGTCCATTATGTAATGACTCTGCCAAAAAGGACAAAGTCTTTGTCACATGGGCTGAATTCCCCAGCTTTTATGTTTAGTTAATCTTACATTGAGATGATGCTGCTCAAAAGTAAGGACTGTTTCATTGGCAGCCATTGTGGAAATAAGCTTTTAGTAGAAGAGCCTCTCCCTTGAGGATGAGAGTAACTGTAAGGCCAGCTGCTGGAATGCAGGGGGCAGGGAGGGCCCAGGAAATGCCAGGCAGATCACTTCCTCTTCTCCTCTAAGTATTAGGATACTTGGTGTGTGTTTATAATACATATCATTGGAACCATATCCTATGTGCAGTTTGTTTAAATGAATTCCCTTATTGCTTAGCAAACACCCTTGCGCACCCCCGCCCTCCCCAAGAGAAAAAGTGGAAATGCATACAGAAAAGATGTGAAAATTACAATGTAAATGGCGTGTGGTAAGTTACTCACTCAGTGTGTGTATTACTTAGGGAAAACCTGAGGTGGGAAACGTGATCTATTGTTTCATTAGTCAGTTTTGCTTTTGTGGGTCTCTCATAATGGGAGCACCTTGCTACCGAAAAGATGACTCTAGTACAGGGGTGACTCGAGGGCCACAATGGGTTCTTAAACTGGACCGGAGGGCCGGAACAAAAGCATGGATGGAGTGTTTGTGTGAACTAATATAAATTCAAAGTAAACATCATTACATAAAAGGGTACGGTGGTTTTTGTTTTTTTTTAATTTTATTCATTTCAAACGTTCTGTATCCGGCCCGCAGGCCGTAGTTTGCCCACGGCTGCTCTAGTATATAGAGATACATACTCTGATTCTATGACCCCTGAAAGATCCAACTACTTCCTCTGATGTTCAGTCAAAGAAACAGCAACATAGCCTAATTCAGATTTAAAGGAAAAGAAAAATATACTCTACTGGAATTTCTGGGAATTTTAGAGACTCTTCAAGGAAATTTTAAATGTTTACATTTTCCCTTTGCCTGCTGACTATGGAACCTGACTCTCGAGAAAGATATGATGCCATGTGTATGTGTAGGAGAGGCAGTGTGTCGTGGAGATAAGCACGCGCTGTGGCTCTCCTTTCTCAAAGTCTGGTAGGACAATTGAAGACAGTGGTGTCAGGGAAAAAGTTATCCTTCAACAGGGGGCCATCTAATTTGTTTGGAACATGGAGGCCTGCATACAGTTTCTTTAAACTGTCTCAGAAAACCTCAGTGGTTCTTGTCTCATGTGTAGTCATGGAAGATTTAAATATACATGGAGAGATAAACAAGTCCTATGGTGTCAAGAAAGACCTGAATTTGAGTAACGGGCTCCATCACTTTTGTGCTGTAAAACTTTGGGCACACTATTTAACTTTTCAAGCCTGATTCCTCACATAGAGAATGAGAGTAATGATGCCTACTTCCTCCAGTAGTATAATAAATAAGGTCATGCACAGAGAAGCACTTAACACCCAGGGCTAGCTGATGATTAGTGCCTCACACCAGTTCCCTATAAATCAGTAGAGTTAGTGTTTGAGTTTGAAAATAACTTGACATTAGCTTTTATTATAACTACAAGGTTATTTACATATCAATACATAGAAATAAATATATATATATAATATCTGAGTCATTCTAAATTAATAAGCTTTCATCATATAAGAAGCATAAGAAGAAAAGAAAGTGAACTATTCGCATTGTCCTATGTACGTGGTGTGTGTGTGTGTGTGTGTGTGTTACGTATGTTTTTATTTATTTTAGAGAAAGAGGAAGGCAGAAATAGAGAGAGAGAGGGAGAGGGAGAGAGAGAGAGAGAGAGAGAGAGAGAGATCACATAAGCTCAATGATGGTGCCTCTATGTACTGCTGGCAGGCTTGAAGAAGTTACTTCCATTCTTTCTGGACAGTTTGACTTTGAAGATTGTTAGTCGTCTCCTTTATACATCTCTAAAAGTTCCAAATTTTACTTTTCACTTAAGTTTTTAAACAATGGCTGCTTGTAAAACCGTAGCTTGAAGTGTCCCCACCATGCACACAAGTCACAAGTGAGTTCTGCTTTATCAAACTCAGATAGACAAATCAAGACAATGATGTCAGAGAAAAGAAGCCATCCTTCATTGGGGGCCATCTAATTTGTTTGGAACATGGAGGCCTACCTACAATTTCTCTAAACTCTCCAAGGAAGCATCTAATTCTTCTCTCATGGAAAGTCATGGGAAATTTAAATATGTAAGAATGTTGCGCCTTGTTGAACTTTCAGAGAGGACTGTAACACGATTTTCTCAGAGGATGAGGTTTTTGTAGAACAGTTATATTTGCATAAATTACCCTGTTTATTTGAATGGATGCACATGCAATATCACCAAAAGCAATTTATTGCTTAATATTGCAGAGGATGAGAGAATATTCATCCCCAACATGCTTTAAATTCAGGTCAATGTAGTAACCTCAATAGTCTAAATTAGACATAAAGACTCCTTTTTCTAAGTGAGGGTCAAAGTAAATGCTTTTGATAGCATATGTCACTAATATATTCCAGATGTTTTGAACCAAATTGGGTTCAAGGATTATAATAGTAAGGAAATTATATTTGACACTTACAGTTTGTCAGACAATTTTCAGAAGAATTCCATGAATATTACTTCACAAAAAGGAATGATTTGTTACTTTTATGATATCATGACACATGTCAGCTTTTCAAAGCCTGGGAGAATAATTGAAGCATTCTTTCATTATTTCCTGCCAATCACATAATAGAGTTATTTCAATTGGTCTTACAAAGTAAACTTCATCATTATTCAGATAAACTCCAGGACTTCCTTTTATTTATCACTTTATCTTGCCCTAGATTACTCTTTCCTTAGGTGAAGTCTAGACTATTAGTAACTATTTTTTAGCCTCAGTTTTTTTTTTTGTTTGTTTTTTTTTAAGTTAGACCTCAGGAACTAGTTGGATTTGCTCATTAAAAGATTCTCTTCTCTTGCCGAATCCGGTTTGGCTCAGTGGATAGAGTGTCGGCCTGCGGACTGAAGGGTCTGAGGTTCGATTCCAGTCAAGGGCATGTACCTGGGTTGCAGGCACATCCCCAGTGG